ACCTGATCATGATGACACCAGTAGCTAGGCTAGCAAGGTTTTGGAGACAATTTTAACGACTTCCAAACAATAAAGACAAGTTGATTCCCCACTTGTCATAATGTAGGTAATAACACATTGCTTTGCAGTCACGCAGTTCAAAGTGCTTTATGAAAACACTAAACCTGCCACCAGCCTGTGACACTGGTCAATTGTATTATCCCCATTTTACAGATGGAGAACTGAGGCACAGAGCTGTAAAGTGACTTACCCCAAACCTAGGGTGACCAGGTGTCTGGTTTTTGACTGGCATGCCCCGTAGAAAAGGGACCCTGGCGGCTCTGGTCAGCACCACCGACCAGACAGTTAAAAGTCCGGTCAGCGGTGCTGCGGCGCTAAGGCAGGTTAGCCCCTACCTGTCCTGGCTGAAACCGCACTGCGCCCCAGAAGCAGTCAGCAGGTCTGTCTCCTAGGTGGGGGGGTCCACAGGCCCCCCTCCGCCCCTGAGCACTGGCTCCGCACTCTCATTGGCCAGTGGGAGCTGGGGTGGTGGTGATCCCTGCGGGTGAGAGCAGTGCGTGGAGCCTCCTGCCCGTGCCCACTCCCCTCCGCCTAGGACCCAGACCAGCTGGCTGCTTCTGGAGCACGCACAGTGTGGTGCCAGGACAGGCAGGCAGTCTGCCTTAGCCCCCGCACTGTACCACTGACTGGGAGCCGCCCGAGGTAAGCCCACGCCCCAAGCCCCAACCCCCTGCCTCAACCTGTAGCCCCCTCCCGCACTCCAAATCCCTCTGCTCCACCCCCCAACCTGGAGCCTCCTCCTGCACCCTAAACCCCTCATTTCTGGCCCCACCCCAGAACCCACACCCACAGCTGGAGTCCTCACCCCGCTCCTGCACCCCAACCCCTGCCCTAGCCCAGCGAAAGTGAGTGAGGGTGGAGGAGAGGGAGCCACCGAGGGAGAGGGAATGTAGTGAGTGGGGGACGGGGGCCTTAGGGAAGGGGCGGGTCTAGGATTTTTTTTGTGTGACTAGAAAATTGGCAACCCTACCCAAACCATACAGTGAGTCATATAAACTGATCTTAGAACCTAGACCCTGACTGATCCCCAGCCCCCTGCTGTACCCACTACACTAAAATGACCCTGCAGCCACAATTCAGACCACACCTCCTCTCAGGTATCGGTTATTTTGTCACCCAGCTCTTAGACTACAGAAGGGATGGGAATGGGAGGAGCCTCTGATTTGTAAGGGCAACAACATCATCATATATAGGGCGAAGACACATTTCTTATAAAGGGTTTTGAAGGGACCAGGAGCCTGGATTTTTATTTTATCCAACTATGTTAATGTTTGACTCTTATGTAAGACCAAGGCAATCAATCTAAAAACAAAAGTAATATCAATACTGCTCAAGGGTTAATTCAGCAAGGTAGCAGCACAAACCTGCTGCCACCCAGGAACCTGAGTTTGCCCTTTAGATACCGTGCAGGAGCCACGTTAAACGGATATGGCCCGATTCTCCCCTCCAGTGCACCTGGTTTACACTGTAACCAAAAGGATAGTTTGGATTAAGAAGCGAAGGAGAAGTTAGGCTAACGTGGGTCCAAACCCTCGGTGTAGAGGAGTAGGGGAAATTGAAGTTGCTAGTGTGAGAAAAGGCAAAGATAAGTTGGAGACAGTGTGTTATGGGAAAGTAAGAGTGAGCAAGGACGTGACCCAGGGCTTTGTTACCATTATGTTTGGATTATAACTGGTTTAAGCAACGTTTTTAATAAATGTTTATGAAAATTGTGAATGGTTTATTAAAATGTTATCTATATTGCTAGTATGCGAAGGACATTGGTGCAGATGTCAATTTAAATAATGTGCAGTGTAAAGAGCCAATAAGAAGGTGGAAGAAATAGAATTATGGTAGAGGACAGTTTAACGTTAATGAGTACTATAATAGAGTATAAAAGGAGTAGTTTTGCTAAATTGGAAGGGAGAGCTGCAGTTGGCATCCAAAGGATACCATTATGCCAGCAGTGAGTGGAGGGGGTGTCTAGTGGCCGACGATGGGGGTGGGTGTGCAAGGCTGGTGGCGGGGTGAAGATGCAGCACACAGGGTCGGCCGCTTCTCATGCTGGTCCATCAGTGCAGCCCCCACCCCAAGCCAGCTCTCAGCTAGCAGGGCCCTGCCCTGCATCCTGTTTCTGGCCAGCACTGGCTGCACACTGCGAGCTCTGGTGGCTGGTGAGAATGGGCAGGTGCCAGGCAGCAGCCATTACGTGTTGCCTCTGTAGCCCTCCCATCAGCCCTTTACGTGCTCCCCCTCTTGCTGTCCTCTCCCTGCTTTGCTCCTTCGCCCCTACACCCCAGCCCCGCTGTTCCTTCATAACCCCCTGGCGGGGCGTGTCCCGCTCCCAGAGCTGTGCAGGGAACCAGCCTCTGGTCAGAGCGCTCAGCTCACCAGCAGCCTGGCTGGCAGGCTCCTTCCTTCCCCCACTGCCTCTGGCTGGGCCGGCACCCTGGGAAAACCCAAGAGCCTCCGGCCTGGGATGTTGGCCAGGAGGAGCCGAGCCTTGCATGTGCCAAAGCCCCGCACAGCGCTGGTACGGGGAAGCCTCTCCGCCCTTCAGCTAAGCTCTGGAGTGGGGCGGGGGAAGTGATTTCCAGCCTGTTCACACCCCGAACCTGCTGACTCCACGGCAGCCCTGGGGCAGGAGCTTAGCCCCCCTCTTCACCCCCCTTCCCCTGCCCTGGGTCCTGCCCAAGGGAGCGCGGGGCTGCTCCATCCCCTAGGCACCCTTCCCTACTGAGCCACCTCTCTGGCCCATTTTCTGAAGTTCCTGCAGTCAGGTTCCCTGAGCCCTGGTGCACAATGCAGCCTTAGGGCTTAACCCCTTCCTGCCCCTTCCCTTCTTCCTGTAGCCAGTGGGGAGGTGGTGGCAACAGGAGGCAGCTGGGTTATGTCGGTGGCCAGCAGCAGCCTGGAGGTGTTAGCTGCCTTTCGACACTGTATGGGCAGGAAGGAACAAGCTGTTTCCAGCCGGAGGGGGACGGCGGAGAAGAAGAGATGAGCTCTGCAAAGACACAAGCCAGGTCATCCCTTCCTCCTCTCCTCCTCCCCTGCGGCTGGAAGCAGCTCCCATCCCTTCCCTCCTGAACAGTGCCAAAAGGCTGCTGCTGGCCACATTCTGGTGTAAACGCTGGTAGAATTTGGGGGCCTTCATTCCCCCCCACCACCACGTTGCCTTGGGAAGGTGCAATGCCATGTACCAGGAGAGGCAGGTCCATCCCAGGGGCCCAGCCAGGCATGGAGGGCAGAGAGCGCTGGCAGAGAAGTTCGGGTTGGTGACCCCCCCGTGTGAGAGAGGTGTACGGGAGTGTGTGTATGTGTCACCTCTCCCCATGGAGGGGGAGGAGGTGTGTGTGTCACCCCTCCCTATGTGAACCCTAAAGCCTTAAAGATAAGAAGGTAAATAAAAAGAATCTAACTGTGCAGTATTTCTTTTTAATGGGGGCTCAGTCAACTTCATGTTAATTTTAACATTTGTACTGCATAGTTCTGATTGATGGCCGTTGAACTCACTTGAATACGAGTAATTTTACCAGGTGTCCCATATTCAGCAGAGGGAAATATGGTCACCCTATTTTTTAATAAAGTTTGGTTGTATCATTCAAAGTGTTGCCTAGTGATCCTACTAAACAGTTTTTCTGAAACGAACCTAGAAGCTTGAATCTGAAAACCAAGCTGGGTTTTCTTGGACCTTTATGTTTAACAACTCAGTATTAATTGGGAACATTTCAGCATAAAGGTTAACAAATGTTGACAGCATTGATATAACCCATTCATATCAACAGAGATGCACAGGAGCAAAAGTGATGTGATAGAGTGGAAAATTGGTCCCATGGTTTAGATCCTGATCTGGCATTGATTGGTCTGAGATTGGTGTGATGATAAATGTGCTCTCCCCTAACCTCTGGGGCTGAGGAGGGTAGCACCAGAGATTCTATCACTGACTGAAGAGGAGTGTTAACTGGATTCCCAGGGCATTATGTCTGAGCCAGACCAACGGAGCATTATGGTGACATGGGGCCTTAGATACCATCCTTCTACAAAGATAGATAAACCTTGATTATCAGGAACAAAAATCATGGAGTCTAGGTCTGAAAATAAAATATTGTATGATCCAGGGGAATGGGATGTATGTAGTTAAATGCATTTTTACTTACAATTAGAGCTAATCTGTCTAATTGTTTCAAACAGTTTACTCGACATATTTAACCCTTTCTCGCTGCTCATGAATTGTCTTTGAACCGATTGTGATTTTTACGAACACATCAAATAGTTTTGACAAACATGTTTGACCTGTGGGTTGTTCACAAACTGTTCACAGCAAATATCCAGTTAGGAACGGATACTGAGAATTCGTTATTTGACGTTTGGGACTGGTCACCCAGCTCGCATGCTGTTGTTTCTGTTCCATGGTAGGATGCTGAACTTTTACCAAGTACATACACTTTCCTCTGTAAGGAATTTTGTTTAGTCACAAAACAAATTTTGTTTCTCAGTTAACTGAATGTCACCTACTGGGCCCCAGATTCTCTCTCATGAACGTTCTTACACACAAAATGTTTTTCACATGAATGTTCACAGGCAGCACACCACAGAGGGGCACTTACAGGCTGCTTTGAAGCCCAGTTGCTAATATCACAAACAGGTCTTTATACTAGTTGACCAGCCTATTTACTAATAGCTTATTTATAAGCCATTGTTCATACATATCAATATGCTGCACAATGTGAGCATCAATACACAGTCTTACCACATGATTAATGACTTGACTGCTTCGGGGAGAGAGAATTTATACAATGCCAGTACAGCAGCACCCCTTTCACAAGCAGCAATTTAGGGATTCAGCTGCACTGGGCATTGGTCTTAGGATGGGCTTCAAAAGGGGGATTGGCCTTTTATCTTTTCAGCAAATGCCTCATTTTGTACATATTCCCAAGCCCCACCTTTGAGTACTCACTTACCAGCTATGTGCTTCTCTTCTTCTTCTCAGACTACTTCACTGTTCGGTCCTCCAGTACATTAAGTCACTTAATATCCTGGCAAACAAGAGGAGAAATGAATCAGTAAATATTACTGGACAATTGCCACACAGACCTACCTTCTCCATGTGTGTGCGCGCGCGCGTGTGAGTGTGTGTGTGTGTGAGAGAGATCACTTGGTTAAAAGAGATTGTGTGTACATTGCCAATGTAAATCTGACAAATGGTTTTCAAATAGTATGAAATTAGCCAGTTTCCTAATACTTCAGATATACAACACAATATGTCAGCAGCTGTGCTGAAAGGGTCTTAGCTGACATAGCAAAGAAGAAATGCAGGGATATGGGCATGAGGGGTTTTAGCCGGTGAATCAATAAGTATCTCTGATAGGTATGGTGAGGGTCCCTGCAGATATAAGGGGCTCCCTGGAGATATTGTTACATCTTGCATACAGAGAACCAGTAGGCATGTTCCTGACATGGGCTGTCTGCTTTCCCAAGCATCATCAGGGGTGACTTTAACCTTCCTCACCAACTGCCAAGTCCAGCAAGGCATTTTCTTTCCATGCTCCACGTTGTTGACAGCTTACACTAACAGGTCCCAAATGCCACGTCCCCGTAAGAGACACACATTCTTGCTTGTCTAAAGGGGATGGGGAGGTGAAAGAAAGGAGATCTCACTGACTGTCCCACTGTGAGAATGCCAGTAGAGGACAATTCTGAGTAGAAAAAGGGCTGCAGGGAAACTACCACTGCCATCCAGCAAACCCGATTGGTGGACGGTGTTGCTGGGCTATAGGAGCAAAGATGGAGTAAATTCCTTCCCAAAGGAGCCCAGGTCCCAGTTTTCTTTCCCTTCCAGAACCAGATCTGAAGGGAAAAGCTCCACAAACCCCACTGCTCTCCTCTCACATTGCCCTAAAGTGGTATTGCCAACACACAAGAGCTCAGCACATGCATTCCTGGCACTGCTAAGATTGAAAATGCAGCTCCAAAGAGAAGGGGTTAACCCATAGAAGCACAGCCACTGAGAGGTTAGTTTAAACTGACAAACCTAGTCCTCTGTAAACAGAGGAAACAAATCACATGAAACCGCAGCCATTAGAATGTTGTTGTTTTAAATACAAAAAGCAAACCCAGTGACCGTCCCCAGACCTGCGATCTGAAGCTTACCCCAGATTTCTCACTGCTCCGGAACCAGTGGTGAGGTGGAAATATTCTCACGCTGGAATCCGTTGACTCTCCGAGAAACTTGAAAGAGAAAGGAGAAGGCAAGAGAGAGCGGAAGAGAAGGGGGCGGAGGCAGCTCTGACATGTTTGTACAGTGCCTGGTTCACCTAGCTGTGAATTTGATTTCAGGGTGTGGTGGTAGATGAGACACAGAAATGTTCAGCGCTGGAAAGTTTCAGGCTCTCATTGCAAAGAGCATGATGAATGTTGACACTGGGGCCTCATGAGATCCTCCTTCCTCCTCCTCATCACCATCTCCCTTTGGACTCTGGAAGGGACAGAAGAGAGAAGTTGCTCAGAGTCGTACGAGAGCAATGAGGTTTGCTGGGTCTCAGACAAGAACCTCTGCAAGGTCGCCACCTTGCAGCCCTCCTCACTGGCTGACCTATTAATGCTCCAACTTGCTGTTACCGCACTTCTCTCATTTCCACTGCCTTGGGGCCTAGAGCTGCTGCAGTTCCGAATGAATCCCGACGTCTCCTGCTGTGTTGTGAATTTCAGGACCTGCCACAAATTCCTAGTCATTCCTGGCAGGTGGAGCTTTCATCATTTGATATGTGTCTGGATAGATGATAATTAATTTGCATTGCAGATGTGCAGCACATGACCTGGTGCCAATACTTTCCCTCTGTAGCTTGCCACGAGTCAGTGCTGTGTGATTTACTGTTTAGTATCACCCTATGATCCTGTTGCTTTGATTGTGCTGTGGCTTGGGGCTTATTGACTCCTGGAAATGTACATTTCTGCGTCAGTGACTTCTGTCTGCTGGAACATCAGCCAGCAGAGGGGGAGGGGAAGAGGTGGAACATGGATGAGGAACAGGAGGAGGTCAGAGTTCATGTCTGCCAAAGCCATCAACAGCTCTTTCCCTAGAGCAAATAAAGGGGACTCTTGCCTTATTGCAACAGTCTATTGCAAACAATGCCAGTCTAAACACCAAGATGATTAGGTCCAAAGAGCAAAGATAAAAATACCCTCAGCCCTCACTGTGTAATTTACTCCCTTTTGTGTGTGTGTGTGTGTGTGTGTGTGTGTGTTTTGCTAACATGGTATTAAATTTAAAAAAAAAAAAATCCATGATGTAAGTAACCCTGATTAATTAAACTGACATGGGCACCCCGGACAGATATCATGGCCCAGTGGATGGGGCAGAGAAGTGGGACTCAGGAGACCTGGGTCCTAATTCTGACCCTGCCACTGTCTGGCTGTGTCCCCTCAGGTAAAGTCACCTCCAAGTGCCTCAGTTTCCCCTCCCACTGCTTCACTTGTCTATTTAGATTACAAGCTCTTCAGGACAGGGTGTCTTTTACTATGTATATGTACAGTGCCCAGCACAATGGGCCCAGGATCTCAGCTGGGATCTATAGGAACGACTGTAGTACAGAGAATCATGAGGATAATACCGAGGGCAGGTCTACGCTGGAAATGCTACATTGGCACAGCTGCATCAATGCAGCTGTGCCGCTGCAGCGTGTCTGGTGAAGACACTCTATGCCGACAGGAGAGCGCTCTCCCGTCGGCATAATTACTCCCCCTCCATGAGAGGCAGAAGTTCTGTTGGCGGGAGAGCATCTCCGCTGATATAGCACGGGTATGGACAGCGCTTAGGTCGCTGTAACTCATATCGCTCAGGGGGGTGCCTTTTTTCACCCTGAGCGATGTAAGTTAGATCAACTAAAGTGGTAGCATGGACCTGCCCTTAGACAGAGTGAGGATGTGTACGTAGCGACTGTGGCCTGTACTGGAATAAAGTTTGATGTTGTGTTACAATGACTGGGATCAATATTCTCTCCTCGGCTTTTCACAGCTTCTGGCAGTCTGCCAAGAACTCACAAGGAGGTTTTCTGCTGGAGACAGGAAGTGCAGTCACTGCTTCCCTACATTATCTACAGGTCCTTGTCTGCTGAGGCCTGCCGAGGAGATTTCCTACTGGTTCGCTCCAGCAGCCTCTTTGGTGTCTAGGAAGTGAAGTTAGCCAAGACCCTTTCTATTTGCGGATTAGCCTGCCTGCTCCTATTGGGGCATGTAAAGTTGGGAGTCCCATGAGCCGTTGTATCCAAGAAAGGGAACATTTTTATTAGTGATGGCAAACACCAAACAGGGCTCAGAAGAGAGAAGGGCCAGCATTAGCCCTCCAGCAGCTCTCCCTTCAGAAGATAATAGCTCATCTTAATTACTTAGCCTTTTACAGTTTGTATGGCAAATTCCACCTTCTCTGTATGTACATATATATCTGTCTTCTTACTATATGTTCCATTCAATGCATCCGATGAAGTGGCTGTAGCCCACAAAAGCTTATGCTCTAATAAATTGGTTAGTCTCTAAGGTGCCACAAGTACTCCTGGGTTTTTTTCAGAAGACTGCAATTTGAGCTGCAAAGTGCTGCCATGTGGAGGATCAGAGCATGATCCCTTGTTTGCCAGGTTGGCAAGTGAAGTGCCTGCTGCTGAGATGTGTCTGTTACACTCTTGCATACTGTCAATAACATCTGCTACTTCTATGCATCTCCACTGTGCCAGGCCGTGAGTGTTGGTCTATATGGGTAAGTTTGGGAGAGTAGCACAAAGAAATCTCACTTATACTGTACAGGGAGTCACCCAGGTTTGGGACTGCCTTTAAATCTACACAAGACTGATCCCCCATGGCTTTAAGTGTTTCGGGAGCATTGCACAAAGCCCTCTAAAACAAGAGGCACATCTTAGTCATGGAGACAAGCTTTGCCACAGACGGAAGAGCCTGGCTTTACTTGCCAGAATGAGGACTTTGGATGGAGCCAAAGACAAGCCTGCTGACAGCAATTCTGGGCCCCCACAAACGCACAAGTCACGCCCATGCAGATGCGGTCCGCCTGACATTTGGGCGGTGCTGTGCCTCTGCTGGCTGGTGTCCAACAAGCTGCCAGCTGCGCTGCTGGGCGCACTCTTCCCGCACAGCCAGGGCTTCCACAAGCCTGCCCAGTACGGTTACCAACTGCCTAATCATGCAAACCCATAGACCCTTGCCCCGAGACCACGCCCCTGTCCCACCCCTTCTTTGAGATCCCACCCCCTGCTCACTCCATCCCCACTTCCTCCTCCATTGCTCACTCTCCCGCACCCTCACTCACTTTCACCAGACTGAGGCAGAGGGTTGGGGTGCAGGTTCTGGGAGGGAGTTTGGGTGAGGGCTCTAGGTTGGGGCTGGGGTGCAGGAGGGGGTGTGGGCTCTGGCCTGGGGCAGGGGTGCAGGAGGGAGTGTGGGGTGTGGGCTCTGGGCTGGGGCAGGGGTGCAGGAGTGGGGCAGGGGGTCAGTGCTTACCTCAGGTGGCTCCCACAAGCAACTGGCACACCCCTCTGGCAGCAGCTCCTAGGCAGAGGGCCCAGAGGGTCTCTGCACGCTGCTGCCTGCGGGCACTGCCCCCGCAGCTCCCATTGGCCAGTGCGGAGTCAGCACTCAGGGCAGGTGCAGCGCACGGAGACTCCCTCCCTAGGGGCCACAGGGACATGCCGGCCGCTTCCAGAAGCGGTGCGGAGCGAGAGCGGGCAGGAAGCCTTTTAAATCACCCGGGCCCCTGGCCAATTGCCCTCTTTGCCCTCCCGTCGGCAGGCCTGGAGCCAGAGCAGCTCAAAGCCTGACGTGAACCTCAGTAGTCTTGGATCTTAAATAAAGACCAGGAGCGTCATTTAGGGTGGGCAGGGGGCGGCTCTAGCCCCCCTCTCAGTTTTGTACCCGAGGTCTCCTCACAGTGCATGCCCTACCTCAGCTGGGAGCTCTTAATTGCATCACATCTTGAGTGTGATATGTGATGAATTCTGTACTGCTCCCAGCTTCCGCCTTTGGGGCAGGGAGTTTGTTTATAAACAGAAGCAGGGTGATTAAGATAACAAAAGCCTTGTCATTAAATTAAGGATTGTTAGATGATCTTGAAAGCATTGCCAGGCACTCCAGTTAAAAGATAGGAAACAAAGGGTAGGAATAAATGGTTAGAGTAGAGAGAGGTAAATAGTGGTATCCCACAGAGCTCTGTACTGGGACTGGTGCTGTTCAACATATTCATAAATGATCTGGAAAAAAGGGTAAACAGTGAGGTAGTAAAATTTACAGATGATACAAAACTACTCAAGATAGTTAAGTCCAAAGCAGGCTGAAAATGGTTACAAAGAGAGCTCACAAAATTGGGTGACTGGGCAACACAATGGCAGATGAAATTCAGTGTTGACAAATGCAAAGTAATGCACATGGCAAAATATAATCCCAACTATGCATACAAAATGATGGAGTCTAAATTAGCTGTTGCCCATCAAGAAAGAGATCTTGGTGTCATTGTGGATAGTTCTCTGAAAACATCCACTCAATGTCCATTGACAATCAAAAAAGCTAACAGAATAGTGGGAATCATTAGGAAGGGGATAGATAATAAGATGGAAAATATATCACCTCTATATAAATCCATGGTACGCTCATTGAATACTGCATGCAGATTTGGTCACCCCATCTCAAAAAAAGATGTATTGGATTTGGAAAAGGTACAGAGAAGAGCAACAGAAATGATGAGGGGTCTGGAACACCTACCGTATAGAGAGAGATTAAAAAGACTGGGACTTTTCAGCTTGGAAAAGAGATGACAAAGGGGGAATATGATAGAGGTCTATAAAATCATGAATGGTGTGAAAAAATTGAATAAGGAAATGTTATTTACTCTGTCACATAACACAAGAACTAGGGGTCACCCAATGAAATTTATAGGCAGCAGATTTAAAACAAATAAAATAACATATTTCTTTCACTGTGGAACTCTTTGCCAGGGGTGTTGTGAAGACCAAAACTATAACAGGGTTCCAATAAGAGCTAGATAAGTTCATGGAGGATAGGTCCATCAATGGCTATTAGCCAGGATGGGCAGGAGTCCAACACCATATTCTGCATGTCCCTAGCTTCTGTTTGCCAGAAGTTGGGAGTGGATGACAGGGGACAGATCACTTGATGATTGCCTGTTCTGTTCATTCCCTCTGCAGTACCTGGCATTGGCCACAGTCAGAAGACAAGATACTGGGCTAGATGGACGATTGGTCTTATGCAGCATGGCAGAATGGCCATTCTAATGTTCTTATAAAGAACCCAGATGTATCTGCCCCCCGCTGTAACCCACTAGACCCCACTCCTCTCCCAGAGCACAGGAGTCCTGATGGGGGGTCTCTCTCTCCACAGAGTTAGTAGCAAAGTAAGTTAGTCTTTAAGATGCCACCGGACTCCTCATTGTTTCTGTGGATACAGACTAACACGGCTACC